ATATATATAGGTTTGACGAAGGCTATCTCTACCTATATATTTATATGTACAGCAAATATATCCATGAATGTAGTATAGCATACAGGGTACAAGGTTATGAAAACCTCTTAGCCATAACCAAACACCTTGAGGAAAAGAGTCACTGGGTATGGACCTCAAGGCCATAGTCTCAGAGGGCACTAACGTCAACTGGCATAACATAGTCCACAAAGATAATGTTCTACATTCTAGTTTGGTGAGTAGCCACTGGGGTCTTATAAGCTTGTGAGCGGTCATCTAAGTTGCAACTATTGGTCTCTCACCATCCAGAGCACAGAAGAGTGAAGAAAATCAAAGATGTATTTAGTCCAAAGGACTAATAAAGCTTATGACCCCCACCTCCATGACCCTGAGACCAGAAGAACTAGATGATGCTTGACTACCACCACTGAGCTCTCTAAAGGCATCACAGTAAGAGGTCCCATACACAGTGGGGGAAAATATGGAACAAAACTCAAAATCATAAAAAAGACCAGGCTTACTAGTCTGATGAAGACTGGTGGAACTCCTGAGACTATGGCCCTTAGATACCCTTCAGGCCAGGAATTTAACTTAACTCTGTGATTCAACTGGCAGCCAAGCAACTGACAGACCTATAAGGTGAACACTAATACCAGGAAGGTAGGCATTCACTGCAGCAGTCAAGCATATGAGACCAAGAAGACTGTACTTGCCCAGAGACAGAGCTAAGAAAGCAGAAGGGGAGGAGAAGGAAGAACGAAGAGAAGGGGTGGGCACAGGAAGGAAGTGGGAAGAATGCTGATAAAGTGTGGGAATCGCAGTAAATGTCACAAAACAGAACGTGTATGGACTGTTCAATGGAAAATCAATTTGTTCTATAAACTTTCACCGAAATCATAATTTAAAAAGAAAAAAAAAAAAAACACCACTCTCATCAATGCATCTGTACTGAGGTGTAAGCTGGACGCCACATGCAAGAATGCTACAAAGACTGTATCACGCACTATCAACACCTCAACACTCAAAACTGGTAAAGTCTTAAATGCCTGTTGACTAGAAGGGGATGGTCCCAAACTTACCTACAATATACCAATGCCCATATAGTATTACGGGGCTTAACAAAGACTTTTTTTGGTTTTTGTTTTTAACACAGACTGGACTCAGCAGGGATAAAGAACCCTTTTTCCAAAGACCTTCAGCAGCATCAGATCACAGGGTTGCCCTTTGGGATTAATCACAAGCTGATGACTCTTGTTTTTGACCATGTTGATATTCTGCTTCTCGTGCCCTGCCATGAATTCTCCTCGATCCCAAAAAAGGCAGCTCTGATTTCTCCCAAATGCTAACAAATTTGTAGTTATGACCGCAAGACCAGCACTTCACTTTGAGGAAGGAATAAATACTCCGCCAAGGAGTGTCTGAGAAGGCTTTGCCAAGACTAGACTCTCAAAGCCCACTAATCTTGGGGAATGAGTAATGAATTGTTTGAATAGTTTAAAGTAGGGGGTTTTCTAGGCAAACAGAAGAGAATGTGGTGTGTAAGCATTGGTTTCCTATGGATGACTCTGGTCCACAAACCAGACTGTGGATTCTCTCAGAGCTGACACTGTGTCTCAGTCCCAGCTGAACATCTAGCACAGAGTCTAGCGGACAGTGAGGATTCCCACATTTCAATGAGCTGTAAGTCTGTCAGGAGTAAAAACCCCACCTCCTACTAGGTACTTGAGAAACATTTTTTTGCTAATTGATCAATTATTTATTTTCGTACCTCACATAGTTTTGGAAGAACTAAAAGGTAAGGCTTAGGGGAGCAAATACTAAACTATGTCCTTTGTCCTGGAGAAATGGCAAACAAGAGAACCAGTATAAAGCTCTCTTGAACCTCACTGAACTATTACAACATACCAGTTGGTGTTATCCATGTATAGTAGGGACGCTGCATTCCAAAATCTGCCAACCGAGGAGATGCTAAAGGACTCCACACTCCCTTGTGCTAGTCTCAAACTGGAGTAGAAATATATATCCCCTCCCCTTCCAACAACCCCAGACAAAAAACTGAGGGGCTTACTTATGGTAAGCTATCATAGCCAAGCTTCTTCTTAGATACAAGGGAAGCTCCAGTACTGCATTATGATTGGCTTCCAAACACAGACAAAGTATTACCTTTTCCCTTAATAAAATACTCAAGACTCTCATTTGGACCAGACAAAGGCTAACTACATCTTTTTGACCCTACATTTTTAAAACAGCTTTTTTAAGAAACAATTTTTATGTATGAAAGTTATCTTAGAGACTGTGTTCAAGTGTTGATTCCATCCTGTCCATTTTACAGACAGGACAACTCAGACCCACTGTCATTAAGCCACTTGCCCAAGGTTACAGAGTCAGTCAGTGGCAGATGCCCTGGGTCCTCAGGCAGCTCTTTCTATGCCCTACCTTTAGAGAAAGAGTGTCACCAGCTGGCTGCTGGAACTGTGCAGCAGACACAAGTGGCTAATCCCCAACAAAGAGCAGCACGTTCATTTCTTCACTCAGCTTTTCCCAAAGGATGACTGCTTCTCTGTGCTAAGTGTAACTGTGATGAATTTAATCATTTGCCATCATGTGCCAGTACAAGTGGCTCAGGCAGCCATTTGATTTAATAAATCAAATAAAGAATGCAGCAAAACCTGATGTGACCATGAGATCCACTGACTAGAACCTGGGAAACAGCTATGGACTCTAGAACAAATGCCAGAAAAGAGAAAATTCTGTCTTCTCTGGTGCTCTCTCTGGCCTCTTAAAATAGCAAAAAGGGGAATTTTAAATATTTATCTGTTCATACTTGTTTACAGAGCATTTCTGCAAATTTATCTTGTATTCAAACGTTTCCTTGGGGGGGAAGGGTGTTGTCCCACCTTCTTCATAGCAAGTGCCAGCCATCCATTCTTAAGGAGCAATAACAACCATAATAATGCTCTTAGCAAATAAGGCCAGCGAGTTCAGAAATCAGAAGCAGACGTAAAAGGAACTGACCTAATGGCAAGCTTAAAGAAAGTTTAACCCAGTTTAGAAGGTGATGAATGAATTTTGACTCTTCATGGTGAAACATCCCAGCTCATAGTAGATAAACGTCACTACAAGATGTCAGAAACCAGAGAATGAAAATACTTGGGACCTAAAACAATGTGGAAAAAAGGGAAGGTTCCAGGAAAAACACAAAGGCAGTGCCTTGGTTTTGAGAGCTGAGGTTTGCTCTGTGCTGCACATTTTAAAACCTTTGCAAGGGCTGGATCTTCCTCCCAGCTCCTCCTCTATGCTGCCATGCTACAAACACAGGAACAAGAAGGCCTGCAGACTGAAAGGATAACTGACATTTACCACGATACAGAAAAAAAGACACTTCCAAATTCATTTAAAAAATAAAAATAAAAAAAGAGTTAGCAAAATTAAAGCTAAGGCCAGGGTCTTACTTTCCCGGATCTGGCATCTGTGTGCACAGCAACCGCAGGGACTGAAAACTCCTCCGAATAGAATGAATGTTTGCCATCCCCATGAACACAACTTCACAGTTTGGGTAATACTCTGGAGAGAATAACAATAAAGAGAACACAAATATGTTGAATAGAAAGCCCACATGGTCAAATTTAAAAGCAGCAAACTGCTATAAAACAAACACATCACAGCTGCTGACTAATGAAACTGCAACGTTTTGATGTTTGACTATTAGCCCAGGCATTTATGGTAAGAGGAAAACATTGCTTGAGTGTTAGCTATCTTTGCCAAGAGAGTGAAAGTAGGAAGGGTGGATTTGTGAAGAAGATTCTGACATAAAATGGAAGCTGTTATTTTCAAAAAGGCCTACAAACTTCCATCTCACTCTAGGTTTACTCCTTGGGTCTCACCTTACTTGGGGCTCTATAATCTCTTTACTTCTACTGGAAAGAACCTGGTAGAACAATGCCTTCATGCATTCAAATGTCACATTGGTACAACTGCTTTCAATTTCCAACTTAGATCACATCTGAATAGGGAGTTTGGTGCCCTTCATTTTCCATCAGCACACAACTGGCACCAAAGAGGTCTCTCCTTGGGGAAAGCCAGCACTCAAATGGTAAGGATGTTAGAGGTCATGACAGAGGCACTCTGCTAGAGTTCTGTATTTACTGCTGTAATTTCCATCTCAGGTTTTCTAAGTAGAAGCCACATGAAGAGTTTTCTGTGAGGCCAGTGATGAGCACACCCACTGTCAAAGGCAACAAAAAGATTTTAGAAGGCTGAGAGACTGAGCCAGTAAAGAAGAACCTTCTAAACATGAACAGGCCTTCTAAGGCAAGAGGATTTTCTTTTCACCTGAAGGTTGGTACAGGGCAGAAAGATCATTTAGTTTCTTTGCCCCTCCTGCTCCAGTGCGAAGAACCCACAGAGCAGCTCTGGCTGTTCGAGCCAGGTCAAGGAACACAGCTTGCCCGCTTCAAACTGAGAACTAGGTCTCAGCTGGGAAGGAGCTGGACTCGAGGACCGCGCCAGTGGACGAAACACCACACAGCTCACCTGGGCACTCGCAGCCTCCACCTTTGGCGCGGTTGGCCACAGCCGCTGCATAGGACCGTGCATCCAAGATTAAAAGCTTCTGTGGCTGGACGACTAAACTCTCTGCTCCTGAAGCATTTGACAGAGAAGAGTCTAGAGACATTGGACAGGGAGAGTGGAGAAAAACAAAATAACCATTTTTCTACCAGAACTGTGCAAAAATAAGAACCAAAGGTATACAAAACTAACTAAATGAAACCTACCTAACCAGAACCCTTGATACAGAGGACTTCTCTCTGTATTTTGTTTTCTATTTTGCCTTCTCATGAAGGTTGATGAGGATTTATTCTACAAAACTAACTCCCAGACCACACAAGGGGTCCATATAGCCCAATCTCCTATTCCTCACCTCCATATCCGTAGTCCTTTAATGAAGCCTGACATTTTCCCTATGGTCTGGAGACACTGCAAGGGCCCTACCACATAAATACTCCACTCTTGTCACGATGGCCAGAAAGACAACAGACACTCTATGCCCTCTTCAAACAAGTTTGAAAACAAAGGGTGTTCTGGTTCTTTACCAGCACCCATGACTCCTCAACAATCCAATCAACTGAAGCTTCACCATCTCTTCTGTGAAACAAACTCTTCATTTTCTAAGGAAAAGAAATGTTCGTTAAGCACAATAAAAAATGATACCATGGTCCAGGAAGCTCCTTACCAAACTCTGCATCAGAAAGGTCTCCCCCATTGGGAAAGTCTCGAGAACTGTTCCTAGTTGACAGCTTCCTGCCACTCGATCGGGAGTCAGAGGCACAAGCTTTGGCGACTGACTGCACGAGGTGCTCATCGTCTGCATTTCGCCAGCCCCACCAGCTGACCTCTGGTTGTCCACAGCGGGCAATGACGGCTCCATTGCTCTGGTGCCTACATGGGGAACAAGAGCCCAACAACTGTACCCATCCCATTGACCTCAGATGCTCTGTGCTCACACAAAATGTGAGGAAGTGGATTTTAAATGCTTACCAGCTTGACTACAAATAAGTGCTAGGTTAGCTTCAAGTCCTTTAAGTATTAAAGAGGGCAGAAATCTTAAAATAACAACAATAATAAATAAAAAAAATCTATCTGACTCTTTTCAATTATCATACCATTACAGAGATTTTCATAAAGTTACTAATAAAACGACAAATTTTCTTTTGGAAAAAATGTTCACAAGCTAAATGCTTAAATTTATTTTTAGAAAATCAGGTAAAAAATAATTTATAAATAAGACATAGTTCTGCCACTGATAATGAAGTATCAATCCCTCCTTTTTAATACAGAACCTGAATACTCTGGCATAATGGATGCTGAAACAGAGAAGCATGTGTTTCCTCACTGACTTCTGAGGGCCAGTGGCAGCAACTATGCCCTCATGGCTGGCTTGGAATCTTTTCAAAACAAGATCCCCCTTTGTGTATTGAAACACTTACCTGGCCTACAGTGAACTGCTTCGCAAAATCCCCTGCGATTTCATTATGTCCAACACTGCTCTTATTATATGAAGACAGCTCAACAAGCCAGCTACCCTACCCTCAGACTCACAGAAAGAAAAGAGCAACATAAGCCACGTTCTGATAGATCCTTTTACAAGTAAGATCAGAAATCACACTCATGGTCTACTTTAAGATGCTATTGAAACTTAGGCTTTCCAGGTGATTAATGTCATAATAAGAGCTCTGGTGGCATAGTATTTAAAGCATTTGGCTGCTAACCAAAAGGTCAACTGTTCAAATCCACCAGCCAATCCATTAGGAGAACGATAAGGTAGTCTGATTCCATGAAAATTGACAGCATTGAAAACCCTATGGGGTACTTCTACCCTGTCCGAAAGGGTCGCTATGAGTCGCAATCAACTCCACAGCAGTGGTTTTGTTTTGTTTTTAATGTAATTGTTGACAGTAAGTTATATACCTGTAAAAAGTTGAATTAGCAAATGTATAGCATGTATTTTTACAAAAAAAAAAAAAAGAGAGCAGCTGAAGAGGCTGCTTAGGTACAACCAAAGACCTTGTGGGTCATTGATGTTTCTTGGTTTACAGGTTTAGGGCTATGGTTTCATGGGACATCCCAGGTAACTGTCCTAATAACACTTTCAGTGAAAGTTTCTGTTCTACCTCCTCCTTGCATTGCGTCTAGGATTTTAAAAGCATGCAAGAAGCTGTCCAAGGTATAATAATTGGTCTCTATTTGCCTGGAGCAGCAGAGGAAGTGGGAAAGTCAAGAAAAGGAAGAGGAAATGGACTGTGTGCCTAACTGCCTCCATGAACAACTGCCTCCTCTGCCCTGAGACCAGAGAAGGGGATGGGGCCCAGCTACCACTACTATTCTATAAAAGAATCTTGATCAAAAAGGGGGAAAAGACAGAATAAATTTCCAAATTCTCACAGAATCCAGACTTTCTGAGTCTGGATGAACTTCCAAAACTGTTGTCCTGAGAAAATCTTTAAACCTTAAAGCAAAATATACCCTGAAGTCTTCTTTAAACCAAACAGTAAGTTAGCTTATTTAGTAAAGAGTGTTTGCCTGGAATATCGTGTTCTTTTGCGGAACAATCTATATAGGATCAAATTGACAACAAAAACTCACAAGGAGAGAAAGGAAGCTTAAGGGGCAGCAAATCCCTGGTAACGGAGGAAGAGCAATTCGGAAAAAGAGGGCAAGAATGGTTACACAATTTGAAGAATGTCACTGTCACCAAATTGTACAGGCAGAAACTGTCAAACTGGTATATATTTTGTGGTGTACACTTTAAACAATTAAAAAAAAAAATGCATTGACCCATGTCACTTTAGTTTTGTGCATTTCACTGTACATAAATTATACTTCAATAAAACGCATTAAAAAACCCAAAAAACTTTATTCTTAAAAAACAGGGTTTTCCTGATTAAGCAACTTCAGTAATTAAAAAGTTATCAAAGTAGTATTATTTGGTAACAAAAAGGCAAAAAGTTCTGATACATGCTACAACATGGATCAACCTTGAAAATGTTACACTAAGTGAAAGAAGCCATTCACAGAAGACCACACTATATATCGTCGTATGGTTCTGTTTATATGAAGTGTCCAAATTAGGCAAATATTATAGGGACAGTAATTAGATTAATGGTTACCTAGAGCTGGGACGCTTGGGGGGAAATGGGGAATGACTGCTAACGGGTATGAAGTTTCTTCCTGCGATGATGAAAATGTACCAAAATCAATTGTGCTATGGTTGCCCAACTCCAAACATATGGAAAACCACTCAATCATATAGGATATGCTTTAAACGGGTGAACTGTACAGTACATAAATTTTAGCTCAATAGAATTTTTTTTTAAGTTATAAATCAGTTCACTGCAAAAATAAAGTAGCATAAAAAAGCTATTAAGCAAAAATTAAAATGTTCCCTAAACCCGATTCTGTATCCCATAGAGAACCTGTCAATCTCTTAGCTCCCTTTACAATTGTTTCTAAACACATACACATAAACATGCCCAAACAGTTGCCATTAAATCGACTTCAGCTCATGATGACCTTCTGGATGTCAGAACAGAACTGTGTTCCACAGGGTCTTCAATGGCTGATTTTTTGAGAAGTAAATCACTGGACCTTTCCTCAGAAGCATCTCTGTATAAACTTTCCAACTTTTTGGTTAGCAACTGAGTGTGTTAACCATTTGCACCATCCAGGATCTCCACTTATTCCACGTTGTTGCTGTTATTAAGTGCCGTTATTTGCCACTCCTAACAACCCTATGTATGACAGCGGGAAATAACGCCTGGTCTTGTGCCATCCTCACAATTGTTGCTATGTGTGAGCTCAATGTTGCAGCTACTGTGTCAGTCCATCTTATTAAATGTTCACCATCTCTTCTGTCTGTTGTTTTTCTGGCCATCGTGAGAAGAATGGAGTATTTACGTGATAGGGCCCTTGCAGTGTCTCCAGACCAGAGAGAAAATGTCAGGCTTCATTAAAGGACTACAGATATGGAGGTGAGGAATAGGACATTGGGCTATATGGACCCCATGTGTGGTCTGAGAGTTAGTTTTGTAGAATAAATCCTCATCAACCTTCATGAGAAGGCAAAATAGAAAACAAAATACAGAGAGAAGTCCTCTGTATCAAGGGTTCTGGTTAGGTAGGTTTCATTTAGTTAGTTTTGGTTCTTATTTTTGCACAGTTCTGGTAGAAAAAGGTTTATTTTGTTTTTCTCCATTCTCCCTGTCCAATGTCTCTAGACTCTTCTCTGTCACTTTTTCGCTGACCCTCTTACTTTACCAAGCATGATGTCCCTCTCCAGGAACTGGTCCCCCTTGATAACATGTCCAAGTGTGTTGTTGTTGTTACGTGCCATCGAGTCATCTCCAACTTATAACAACCTTATGTACAACAGAACGAAACACTGCCCGGTCGTGTGCCAACCTCACGATTCCTACTGTACCCGAGCCCACTGCTGCAGCCACCATGTCAATCCATCTTCTTGAGGGCCTTCCCCTCTTTCGTTGACCCTCCACTTTACCAAGCATGACATCCTTCTCTAGAGAATGGTCCCTTCTGACAACATGACCAAACTAAGTGAGACCAAGTCTGGCTATTCTCGCTTCCAAGGAGCATTCTGGCTATACTTCTTCCAGGACAGATTTGTTAGTTCTTTCAGCAGTCCATAGTTCAGCATTCTTCGCCAGCACCACAACTCAAAGCATCAACTCTTCTTTGGTCCTCTTTATTCACTGTCCAGCTCACACATGCATATGAGGCGACTGAAAGTACCATGGCTTGGGTTAGGCCCAAGCCTAACAAGGAGCCTAACAAGTCTTCAAGGAGATATCTTTGCTCTTCAGCACTTGAAAGAGGTCTTTTGCAACACATCTGCCCAATGCAGTATGTCTTTTGATCCCTTGACTGCTGCTTCCACTGGCATTGATTGCAGAACCAAGTAATAAGTCTCTGACAACACCAATCTTTTCTCCATCTATCATGATGCTGCTCATCGGTCCAGTTGTGAGGATTTTCGTTTTATGTTGAGGTGTAATCCATAGTGCAGACTGTAGTCTTTAATCTTCATCAGTAAGTATTCCAAGTCATCCTCACTTTCAGCAAGCAAAGTTGTGTTGTCTGCATATCTCAGGTTGTTAATGAGCCTTCCTCCCATCCTGATGCCACGTTGTACAGCTTCTTGGATTATTTGCTCAGCATACAGATTGAATAAGTGTGGTGAAAGGATACAACCCTGATGCACTCCATTCCTGATTTTAAACCATGCAGTGTTCCCTTGTTCTGTTAGAATGATAGCTTCCTGGTCTATGTCCAGGTTCCTCATGAGTACAATTAAGTGTTCTAGAATTCCCATTCTTCTCAATGTTATCCACAATTTGTTATGATCCACATAATCGAATGCCTTTGCATAGTCAATAAAATACAAGTAAAAATCTTTGCTTTGAGCCAAGATCCATCTGACATCAGCATTGATATCCCTCCCTCCACATCCCCTTCTGAATCCAGCTTGCATTTCTGGAAGTACTCTGTCAATATACTGCTGCAACCATTTTTGCAGCAATATACTGCTGCAACCGTTTTTGAATTCTCTTCAGTAAAATTTTACTTGCATGTGATATCAATGATATTGTTCGATAATTTCCACATTCTGTGGGATCACCTTTCTTTGGAACGGGTGTAAATATGGATCTCTTCCAGTCAGTTGGCCAGGTAGCTGTCTTCCAAATCTCTTGGCATAGCCAAGTGACTGCCTCCAGGGCAGCATCCGTTTGTTGAAACACTTCAACGGGTATTCCATCAATTCCTGGAGCCTTGTTTTTCGCCAAAGTATATGAGATGAAATCACACCATCATCAGTTCCAAGGAGCTTCTGGTTATACTCCCTCCGAGACAGACAGATTTGTCTG